ACATACTATANATATATATATATATATATATATATATATATATATATATATATATATATATATATATATATATATATATATATATATATATATATATATGTATGTATGTATGTACATATATATATATATATATGTACAAAATATATATACAATACATATACATACATATATAAAAGCATTGAAAACGTTTTCTCCCCATGTAGCAATTGATGAGGATAGCGCCTGTCATCGTTTCAACTCTGGAATATCTTTAGTATTTTTTATTAGATTATACATTGCTGATTATTATTACTTATTAATTCTTGATACTTGTTAATTCATGTCAAACTAGGGGATCAGAGTTCTATACCTCTCGATAGGGAACACACCCGATTGACGCTGGTTGCGTTAGCAGCCACCTTATGAAAGATTAGGCTTTGATATGATCTATTTAGTTTTAGTCCAGAACCGGGTTGTTGCTCGACACAGTTCCGTCCATACCTACACGCAGTGAAGGTTCCTTACGGACACCTCTGGGTACAAGTCTCACCACACCAGCCCGTTGTGCATATGCACACAAACTTGTTGTGCCTATTCGAACAAGTCCCGGCCACACACGGGTTACTGGCGCACTCATCAAAGTCCAGCTCACAATTCTCTCCCAGACGCCCTGGTACACAGTAGCAACTGTACCCAGAGATCCTCTCTACACAGTAACCGCCAAAGAAACACGGCTCACCATCACAGGGCCTCTTCTCCGGCGTATCGCACAGACTGCCTTCATATCCCGTGTTTGTGCAGTCGCATGTGAAGCCGCCGTCCGTCCCAACCTCGGCACACACCCCGTTGTTTAGGCACGGTTGGGAATCGCACACGCTAACAGTACGCTCACACGTGATCATGTCGGGAGCCAGTTGGTACCCATCTATACACGCACACGTGTAATGCCCTGGTATGTTGCTGCATACAGCGCCTGTGCCACAGATGTTGGGTGCACGTGCACACTCATCAATGTCCACACACGAGGCTCCGTCCAGCGATAGCTCGTAACCGGTATTACAGCTGCATGTATATCCCAAGGATCCGCTTGCACACGCCCCATTACCGCAGGTGTTGCCCACGCAGTAGTCAATCTTCTCACACACCAACCCGCTGTCAGATTGCTTGTAGCCAGCCTTACAGTCGCACGTGTATGTAGCAAGCCCATTCACGCATGTGCCCTCGCCACACGTGTGTCCTATACAGTTATCTATCAGCTCACATACTGGGCCGGTGGGGGACTGCGACAGCTCATAGCCCAAGAAACACGCGCAGCTGTACTCTCCTTCTGCGTCTGTGCACACACCCCGTCCCTCGCCACACGGGTTCACCTTACACTGGTCGATATCCACACAGGTGTTGCCTGATTTTCCATACCCAAGAAAGCACGTACAGGTATACGTGGTTCCACCGTTGTCGTTCCTGCATGAACCACCACGGCCACAAGGCACTGAACTGCAGGCGTCGAAGTACTGTGACTGTCGCACGAACGGCCCTGTATCGGCTGGTGTCAAAGGACTTGGGCGTATCGCTCTGTACTGTGGGGGATCCATGAGATTGGAAGGGGGCAAGCTGCACCCGTTGTTAGTTCTCGGTGCAGTGGAATACCATCGGTTGTTCCTCACTTCGGTGTAGGTGGGGCAGATGTTGCCCTGGAATTGGACGAGAGATGGATTAGTTGCATGGATCAACGAAATTATTTGTATTGCCACGTTCAGTAGGTAATATATGTTCATGTATGCTTTTAAGCATGAATTAAATTTTGGCGACTGATTTGTAAAGCGTGACCGTCTATTCTACAGGAAGTGTGCACTACACGCTTTCCACAACAGAGTGACGTATTCAGACGCGCCCGACGTCGATTGAAAACAACTCGCGAATAATCAGATATTCATGGTATGTAGAAGTAAGTCTATGCTATGGCCTGACAGATTTTTAAATGAGCATACCTTCCCATTATCTCCTACGACGAGAGCGCTCCCATCTTCGAGTACATTGTTGTCCAATCCATAACCCAGACCGGCTTCGTACTCGCAGTTGCCTTGGTAGCCATAACTGTTCTCGGGGGAAAGAGAGACTTTTTTTTTATAACTATTATATGCGATATTATGTTTAAAATATTATGTTGCTCGTAATTTAGGCCTTGATTAAACTTATTCGCAAACAGTTTTAATACACGAGACCTCTTGGGTTTTGGTAGTACTACAGACAGATGAAGTCATGATCAACATGGTTACACACATAGTCTGTGCTACAAGCAACCAGACATTTCACATCACCAATGAAATATGTGCACAAATGCACTACAAGAATCCTAGAAATACAGATACGGATAGTTTGACATATTATATTACAGCTGCGATACCATCCGTGCATGACATCGAACTGGATAAACCGAGATTTTTGAGGAAATTATATACCTGCTATGTGATATCCGGAATCGACATACACACACACACGGACCAGATCGCTTCAAAAATTAAAAAATCCTATGCATACATATGTGCACACAGATTGATATTCTTATAAGAAAGTAGCATACCAGTTATATCCCAGCCCCAATGCAATACCATAGCCATTGCGACAGCCAGTCATGTAGTTGTTAGAAATCACTTGGTTCCTCCCGAAAGAGCGGATAGCACCACTGCTACTGCTTCTACATTCGATGTAGTTTCTGGCGATCTCATTGTCACTTCCATATCTGTAGTTTCATAGTTGCAAGAATTAGTTGGCGCAAACTTCATTCCTTGCAATCTGCTGCAGACATTCGTAAGGTTGGGTTACTTATTTGTATCACTAGGCCCGTATCTATCTGTTACCCCGTCACGATATATTCACATTCATTGTCGGACACGAATGTTTGAATCTTCATGTGGTGCACAAGGGATACTTTAAAAAATATTACTTACATGGAGCAAGGTCTGAAAACAGCGTAGTGCACTACTAAATACCTGCCATTCTCATAGCATTTATCGAATTTTATCTACGTAGACATAAGCTGCAGGTATGTTTGTATCTGTATTCACCATGTTATAGTTATACATTTACTTACCGATTCGTGATCGCTCCTTGGGAGCTGAGAACGGTGTTGCCCCTGACATGAACACTGCTGGCTTTGATGCTCAACAATTCGTGCTCGCCATTCTGATCTATAAAGTAATTTTCGTCGACGAATGCGTGCGCATTTTTGTTAGATGAAGAACTTCCGCCCACGCGCCAAACTTCCGCGGTGAAATCTTGACACTGGGTGACGAATCTAACAATTTTTAAAACAAACGGTGTCAGGTTCGGGAGCAGTCATGTCGCGTATAAACATAAATTTCATGTGCTACTAGTAATCATGATACGTTTTTATCGTTAAGAATTATGTGCAATATACAACAGGAATTCTAATTGAATGTCTGCGCACATATCTAATACTCAATATGCATGAGATTATCTCGGTTCATACCAGTATGTTTGGCTTACCTGTTTCGATACGTCAAACTAGGCCCATCAGCATGAACGATTACTGTCAACGATGACAGACAAAGGTTTTGGAACAGATTATGATCGATAAGCTGTGCTCCTCCTCTACCGTAGACGCATCGTTTACTTTCAGTCTCGGTTGGTGGACTCCTCAAGTTTAAAAATGAACATCTTGTTACTCTTCCATGGTTAACTTCAACCATCCCTGTGCCTATTGGGTAGGCGTCCGTGAATGTGATACCGTCCAATATACCACCGCTTTTCACCGTCACTCTCACGTTGCCCGAGAATATTACCTTGCCCATATTCCGGGCACGGAGAACGGCTCCATTACTCACAACAATATCGACATTAGAATACCTTCCGTCCTTCAGGGCATACACAGTATTACTACCGTCGATATTTTGAACGGTCGAACTATAGTGAGTATCTCCTCTTGATGGATCATAAATAGGAAATGATCCAAGATTGATACCAGGGTATGCAGTCGGTGGAAAGTTTTTAGCGAGATTGTCTACTTTGGTGTGATGGGTCTGCCCGTCAACTGATTGACAGCATAGAGCAACAGCGATAGCGATAGCGTATACCCTGTGCATATTCATTTTTTATGCGTTCCAGATCTTATTGTAGATTGTTACACGTTTGAATATTTTGTGTACACTATATTATATATGAGATTGAACGACAGTATTTCTGATTTTGTCTGAATTTGAATCTGGCATTCGTTTCATACAATACGGTCATCTGTTAGATGGTTTTATACTGGAATGAAATAATTCTTATTAGGCGACGAGACACAAGCCACAGGTCGATTTGCACCTTGTTGTGTGGGTTTATACGACACGGACCATGTGGCAACTGGCAAGACTGGTACACCTACTCCGAAACTTCAGTAAAATCAAAATGTTAATATACTACATATGGGTAAGTACTCCCAAAAACAATTCGAATACAAAATTTTACCGTTGTTTTTTTAAGGAAAAATATAATAAAGTGTTTTACAGTTTACATGAATAAATCTGAAATTCCTCTCATTTTCTCATTTTATTTTACCAGTGTGCTGGACCGTTGGACGCCTCTCTATTGCCTATTTTGATATATATAGTCGCGAGTCGCCAATCGCCACTCTATTTGAAGAAAAGAAAAAACATGGCCCTCTCACCTCTGGATTTGGGTCTCGAGCAGAATTCGCTCAAATCAGGTTTCTTCCGACGACAAATCGTAAATCTTGAAATCCAGAGGGCCATGAAATAAAAACAAACAAACAAACAAAAAACTATTTTGGAAACGTTCGTGTGTCGTCGGGCACTCGGGCTCATGACTCACAGTTAAAAAAATAAAACACCAAAACAAACATAGCCTTCTATGTAAATACATAGCTCTTTTTCTAGAAGCTATTTATGACAATGAAAGTATGATTGGATGTATTTACTTACATAAATATTCTATAAAAAAAAATT